GGAGCAGGGGTGGATGGGGCCCAAGAGGCTGTCCCCTACCTTGTTGGTGGCAGTGCAGGTAGACAATCTCCTCCAGGCGGATGGTCATGGCATAGTCCCAGTAGACGCTAGAAGGGGCGCGAGGGAGGGTTAGTTCTCCGCTCACTGTAGTAGGAGCTCAGAGGCCAGAAGATCATGCCCCTTGGCTCCTCCACCCTTCTCACCAGGACCCATCTGCTCCAGCATTCATGTCCCAGCCTGCCCAGACGCTAGCTCCCCTTCTTCTGGTCCTAGCACCCCCATTTTCAGAGAGAACCATCCTCCTCCACACCCTCAATCCATATAACAGAGCTGAGGCCAACCCCACCAACTTTCCATCTAGGACTCCAAGGAAATCTGACCCCAGCCTGGCCAATCAGCACGTCCCACTGTTCCGGTCACAGTGATTGGTGCAGGCATGGCCTTCTGACCCAAGCAGAACCAATGAGACTCGAGTATTGGATTTATGTTAGAATGACTGGGAAAGAGCTACTCCTTTCTGCCTGGAGGACGATGGTGAGAATAGAAGCTGGAGTAGCGAGAGACCATGGCTTACTGGGACCAGGGAAAGCCTGCCTGGAATTGAGTCAACAGACAGGAAAGCAGAGCCAAGGGCTGGAAAGAGTTCAGGTCCCCATTATTCAAGTCCCTGGATCCATTCATGCCTGAAACCACTGCCCCAGCACTTGGCAATCTGTGGGAACTAGCGCTTAGGTCAGCTTGCGTCTGATTTTCTGTATCTGGCATCTAAGAGTCTTAACTAATTTACACTCTAGAACATGTGTGGGAGTTAGAACAGACATTCAAATTCCTCGACCACACATGTCCCAGCAGCGTGACTTGAGGGTTTCTCTGAGCCTCAGTTTCCTCAGCTATAAAATGGGGACTGATAATTCTCACCTCACAGTGTGGCTATGAGGATGAAACAGAACCACATATTTGAAGGATTCAACCCAGAGCTGATACATTAAAAAACAATTTTTTTAATGGACACAAAAGTGGGAAATTATCTGTTGATGATAACATGTATGGAAATGCCTTTGACTGGACTGAGATGCAGTATATTCATGCTGGGAAGATTAACTTTGTATGCTATGGAGCTGTATAGTGATTAAGTGTAAAAAAAAAAAAAAACCCAAACAAGTCAAAATATAAAAATATTGACATAAAAATTTAAAAGTACTTAGGACAGGGTCCCTCTGATTATTCACTAACGTGTTTCCATTTCCAGCTCAAAACCATAGCTGACCACAGTTCGAGTCCTGGTCCCAGCAACTTGAAAAGCATGCTGAGCACCTGGTGTGTGCATGCCCCAAATCCCTACAGGATGGAGAAACGGAGAAGGGATTGTGGCATGCTCACACCCCATCTGGTGAGGGCACGTACCTGCTGGTAACTAAAAACATTATTCATCATTTTTTAAAAATTAAGAAAGCAAGAAAATGGAGGCCAGAAGGTGGCAAAGTGATACTGTGTGATGCTCTGCAAGGCAATCCCACATGGGAAGGTTCCTGGTTCAAATCCAGAGAACTCCCTGGGTATGCCTGGCACCTGTGTGCCTTTGATCCAGGGTTGGCTGAGGTGGATCGTGGCATTGGCACCCTGCTGGGGGTGCTGTGTCTCTCTACCTCTGTCTCTATCATTCAGGAAAGAAATAAATGTAAAATACAAAGAAGAAAGAAAGAAGATGTAAGAGAAAAGTAGGATTATATGTGGCCTTGGGACAGCCAACACCTCTGCTTCTCCCACCACGCCACAAACCCTCACGGTGAGACATCTGGGCCGGCCACACCTTTGCAGGAGCCTTCCCCCCCCCGTGTGTGAGCATGGCGGGGCAGCAAGGAATGCCCTGTGCAGCCTTTCTCTTGAGTGTGACCCCAAAGCCCTCACTGGGTCTTGTCAACAGCAAGACCTCACAGGAGACACAGCCCTAGACCAGATAGCTGCTGACGTCCTCCACCTCCCTTTGCTTTTTCTTTATTCATGACAGAGCACATGCGTGTGCGACAGAGAGTCAGACAGACAGAGAAGGAGAAGCACCCTCCACACGGCCAGGTCAGGCCACCATCCCCCGCCTCCAGCCCTCCAGCCTGCCGGGACCCTGAGCTTTGCACATGTGTCCACTGTGTTTTGGGCTGACCAGGCCAGAAACTGCCACCGTGCTGTGTACGACTGAGGTGGGGTCCTACCTCCCTTTTTTACTGAGTGATGGGAGGGGGCGGCAGGAGTCTGGGGAGTACTTTGCCATTTGTGGCTTATGAGAGCGTTGTAAAGCGCTCTCTCTCTGGGTGGTGTTTGGACAGGGCGTTGTCTGACTCCAGTGCCCCGAGGTTCTTCTGGTTGGTTTCTGGGTTCTGCTGAGGCTTTGTTTCTCTTTTTTTTTTGAGAGATTTTTCACTGTAGGGCGTGTGCGCTCGCCAGACAGACAGAGAGAGACATAGAGACAGAAAGCGAGAAATCACCCCCGAGGGGGGATGGTCACACCGCAATCCCTTCTCCTCCATTCTCCTCTCGGGATCTTGAGCATGCACGCACACGCGCCCAGCGTGAGTTTTAAGCCACCGGGTCCGGGACACGAACCGCGGTCGACTACGTGGGAGTCCAGCGACATAGCCATTACGCTAACTGCTGGTTCCCAGGCTTTGTTTCTCTTGAGACCACCCTGCAGGGAGGCTGACCCAGTGGCCATAACGAGCAGGCAGCTCATGTCACCTGCCTCCCCTCCCCAGAAGTGTCAACTCCCTGTGCCAAGGAGAAGGTATGGGCCCAGCATCCTACCTCTTCTCGTAGTCCAGGTCCCCCACAGACCCATTCATCAGCTGGTTGGGCGTCCACTTCAAGGTCATGACATCAGCTGTCTGGTGCAGAGACAGATATCCTGGCACGGCCTCCATGTCATCCCTCTGCAGAGAGAGGAGGACTCAGGCTTGGCCGCAGTGTTGGGGTCACAGTGGACACAGGCCCTGACCCACTGGACTCGAGAACACAGGATCGAAGCCAAGAGGTGGGGTTACCACCTTCAAGGCCATGGCCCTTTGGGAAGGCCCTATGCCTCCTTTCAGGTGGCCATCCTAAGCACAGCCTCCTCGCGGTCATGCCTCCTCCTGGGGTCACAGGACCCTGCCCTAGGTTCCTTTAGAACCAGGAAGGGGGCTCTGGCCCTCTTAACATCTCCTTTTTCTAAACAAGGCGCTGACCTTGGCCAGTCTTCTTAGCACAGGGTCCGCGATGCACGCACATCCTGGCCGTCTGGGAGGAGGAGGAGACAGTGGCTGGCTCTATGGCCCCTCCCAGAGACTAGCCCCAGAAAGCTCCTCCCCAAACCCCCGCACCCTGCTCCCCCCGCCAGCAGCCTGGCTCTGTGCCACCCCAGAATCTGCCTTTAGGACTTCTCATCTGCTTCGTGTGGTCCCCAGGTGGTGGCAGAGGGGGAAGAGGGTGTCACTATTCCTCACACACAGAGGAAACGGCCCTTCCACCAAATCCACCCGAACAACATGCAGGATGACGGACACTCATTGAGCACCAAGTGTGTGCCGAGCATGGCTGTCCTCACGCACGTCTCACTGTCACTTCTGTGCCTGTCAGCCCACCATGACAATACGTCTCCCATTCTAACACATGCGTTTCATTGTTTCACATCTTTTTTTTTTTTTTTAGATTTTTTTATAGAGATTTTTGCATGTGCTCACCCGAGAAACAGAGAAACAGAAAGCGAAAAAGCACCCATTGTGGGGGATGACCACACTGCAATCCCTTCTCCTCCATTCTCTTCTTGGGATTTTGGACACACATGCACATGCACCTGGTGAGTTTTAGGCTGCCAGATCTGGGACTCGAACCATGGTCGACTACGTGGGAGTCCAGTAATGTACTCATCACACCATCTGCTGGTCCCTGTTTTACACTTTAATGTACCTGCGATGGAGCAGCATCTTATGATCAATGGCATCTCAAACCTTGTCGTCGTGGTCATTGCCTGATCTCACGCACTCATATTTGGGGCATGGTTGTTACTTGACATGCAGAAAATAGGTGCTACTTTGGACATCTCCCGAAAGGTTAGAATGGGGAGGGGAGGGGTGTGAGCAGCAGAAAGCAGGGTGGTTAAAGTGCTGGATTCCCATGTGGCTGACTACAGTTCGAGTTCTGGACCCGATAGCTTAAAAATCCACTCTGGGCACCTGTGTGCATGCCCAAAAACTCCTAAGAGGAGACTGGAGGAGAAGGGACTGCAGTGTGGCTGTCCGCCCAGAAAGTGATTCCTCACATTCCCTCTCTCTTGTCTCTCTCCAGCAAGGCATGCACCCTATGGCAAAAACCTTAAAGTGATGACAGAAACAAAAACAGTTAAAAAAGGTTAGACCGAGATTCAGCCCGGCATTGAAAAGTCATCGTGAACAAGGAAAACTGTGACTACAGGACTGGGGGCAACAGCTCTCCCCCTGCTCCCTCCCAGCTGAGTCCAAGGATGCATCGGCAGAGTGCAGATGTGATACTGGTGAAGCCGGCACGGTATTCTTCCCTGCAGGGGTGCCACGGTTCCAGATTTTCTTGCAAAATAGTGCCCAAGTGCTTCCCGGAGATGAGAGCAGTCACTCTTGCAAGAAATGCTACACTTCCTGCACTCTTGGGTCAGGGGTCACCAAACTTTCTGTAAAGGGCCAGGTGGGGAATATCTGGCCGTGGGAGCCAGACAGGCTCACTACAACTCTCGGCCCTGCCATCGGGGCCTTCAGGCAGGCAGAGAGAGATGTTAACTCATGGTCATAACTACGTCTCAATCACACGCTATTTACAAAACCAAGTGGAGAGCCGACCTGGGCCCATGGGCTATAGCTTGTCGATCCTGTCTCTGGATGGAACAGAAAACCGATATATGGAAAAATAAGGGCACTAATGACTCTAAGTCAAAAAGTAATCAGAAAATTGAACTTTGAACTGTGAAGAAGTTCTGGAAATATCTTAACTAATGCGTTTCCATTACATTTGCCTTTCTGCATACTTTTAAGCGATGTGTGATTAAAAAAAAAAGAAAAAAACAAGGAACCAGCGGACGGCGTAATGGTTATGTCACTGGACTCCCATATAGTCGACCACAGTTCGAGTCTAGCATGGATGGCAATGATACCAACATACAATGGAAATACTGGTGTGTGGATGAACAAATGAATGCAAATATTGGTATATTGATGAATGGATGGACAGAGACTAGCAGAAAGGTGAATGAATAGATGGATGGGTGGGTAGGTGGACAGACAGACAGATGGACAGATAGATGGATAAGCAATCTGGAGCCAGAGGGAACTCCTCCTTATTACCTGGAGTCAGACCCTCAGTGCAAGATCTGAGCCCCAAGTCAACCCTCACCGGCTGGACCAGGACGTTGTTCTTGCCGTAGAGCAGGGTGGCGCGGGAGTTCTGGTGCAGGGACTCCACATAGTCGCGAGCCGAGAGGGATGGCCGGTCGTCCATGCTGCCACTCGAATGCCTCTTCTGGATCTGAGAGCGTGAGGAGAGAGAGAGGGACGAGGAGAGACAGAAGGACCAGGTCTGTAGACACCGCCAGGGCCTCTGTCTCATTCCCTGCCACTGTGTCATGTCCGAGCCTCAATGCGAGCCCCTCCCTGGGCGCCACTGCCCTCCGACTCACGCAGAGGGCTGGGCGCTTAGTGGGCGAGTCCTGCCGCAGGTGTGAGCTGTGGATGCGGTGCCTCTGCACCAGCTCATCAGCCGAGGGGTCGGTCCAGAAGTGGTCTGCCGTCTTCATCTTGGTGTACTCCAGAGCACAGGGGCCCACTGTGGCACATGAGAGGGGTGGCAATCAAGAGCCCCAGAAGGCCCGCCCTCCTGTCTGTGCCCAGATGGGACACCCATGCCACCACCCTTCCCCTCCGGCCAGCTAGGATGCCCCAGAGCTCCGCAGAGGAGACCAGACCCAGGCCCTGCGAGCAAGAGACATGAACAGGTTAAATTCTGATGAGCGAGCCTGGATGGGGGTAAGAAAGTCCCGCAGGAGGTGTCTCTGAGACCCCAGGTGCCCAGAACAGAGGTCCAGGTACAGTTCAAAGCTCTGGGCCACTCACCCAACAAAGATGCGAGGATGGGGCCGTCCACAGGGTCCATGAGGAGGGCTTCCTTCTCGTAGTATTTACTAGTGAGAGAGGAAAGGGTATGCAGGTTTGGACAGAGACCAACAGAGGGCGCACAACCCACAGCCTGGGTCCAATCCCCCAGTGTCACCAGGTACCCTCAGCGGCCACATCTGTAAAATGGAAATAATAGTAAGATGTCTCAGGACAGCAGGTGGCATGAAGGTTAAGGCAGTGGGATCCCACCTGGCCAACAGGAAGGGTCAAGTCTTGGACCGGGTGGCCTTAAAAACACAGCAGCGGCATGTGCGTATGTGCCCCAAATCCCAAGACGAGAACAGAGGAGTGGGAACTACAGCATGGCCAGCCCCATGAGGGGTGATTTCTCACTCTCTCTCTCTCTCCAGTGAATGTACATCCAACCTATTGCAAAACTAAAGAAGGAAAAAATATCTCACAGAGCTGTCAGAAAGACTTTTTCTTTCTTTTTTAGGCTTCTGCCATTGGATGCATATGCTCACCAGAGACGGGGATGGGGAGGGAAAGTGAGAAATCACTCCCCAGGGACGGGATGGCTGTGCTGCAATCCCCTTTCCCCCATTCTCCTCCTGGGACTTTGGGCACGCACATATACACACCTGGCCTTTTTCAACCTGCCACGTCCGGGACTCAAACCTCAGTTGGCCATGTGGGAGTCCAGTGCCTTAGCCACCACACTACCTGCCGGCCCTTGTCAGAAGGACTTTTGAGCGAGGCAACAGATGAAAGGCACTAAACAGAGCACTCAGCATGTGTCTGCTCAGTACAGCGTTGTAACATGGCCCTTACAGGAGTAACGGAAATAACAGTAAGACAGCTGTCATTTGATTGATGGATCTTCCATTTGAGGCAGGAAGGTGCTTATGGGCTCTTTTGATGTCTGCTCTTTTACGACTAGGGCAATAAAATGCTGCTTAGCAGCAGTCTGCATCCAACAGGCTTTCCAATCCTGATAACTACTGTGGAAAACACCTGAGATGCTCAAAAATGCCCCCACCCACCAGAATCTGGCTTGGCAAAATACTGGGTCTTCGAAAAAGTCATGACGCATTTTGGCATAGATAAACACAGAAAGATACGGCATGACTTTTCAGATGACCTAGTAATACGTGTTGCTACTGATCCACTGAACTGAGGGTTTCTGGATTTGTTCTGGGTGTTTCATTTGTGTTGTTGCACGGTGGTTTCTAATTCCTGAAAACTCATACAGTCTAGAACTAACAGAATTCAAGGTTAGAAAGAACCTTGTTTTGACCTCCCAAGGCTGGCAGGCCAAGAAAGGGGAAGTGAGGCTGGAGGCTACCCCGCCGGCAGACGCAGGCTTGGCCACTACCTGGCTGGCTCTGCTCTTTCCACGTCGCAGTGGTCGGGGAAGGACACAGGTTGTGGCACCAACAGCCACAGGGTGGAAGCCCAGGGTAAACACTCCCACTCTTGTGTGCATCCCTGGGCAAGTGATTCCCCTCACTGAGCTTCAGGGTCCTCAGCTGTAAATGAAGGTATGGCAGAATTCACCTGCCCGTGGACCAGCAGGGGTTTGGTGGTTAAGGCGGCTGGATCCCACATGGCCGACTACATGGTTCAAGTCCCAGACTCAGCCTGAGAAACCAGGCGCCAGAAACAGAGAGAGAGAGAGAAAGTGAGAAATCACCTCCCTGGGGGATGGCCACATTGCAATCCCTTCTTCTCCAGTCTTCTCTTGGGATCTTGGGCATGCACGCACATGCACCGAGCATGACTTTGAAGCCTCCAGGACTAGATCACAGGCCCAGCCCAGTACTCTTTACATTGGAGCTTCACTGTTACAGCCTCTAGGACACTTTTCCTGACCACCCAGATAGCAGTTTCTATCTACCACTCCTCCCTTGGAACACCTACTTTCTTTTTTTAAAGAATTGTTTAATTTTATTATTATGATGATGATGATTTGCTATAGGGCACACCGCCAGAGAGAGAAAGGGAAACTGAGAAAGCAAGCCACCAAGTCTGGGACTTGAACCGTGATCAACCACATGAGAGAATCCAGTGCCTAAACTACCTACTGGCCCCTGGAACACTTGTTATATATTATTGCAATTCTTTCTTTTTTTTTTTTAAACAAATAAATTATTTATTTATTTTAATGTGAGCAGAGTGGGACAGAGAGAGAGAGAAGGAAAGTGAGAAAGCAAGCCGCGAGGTCCAGGACTCGAACCATGGTTGGCCATGTGGGAGTCCAGCATCCTCAATCACCATGCCACCTGCTGGCCCCATTACTGCAATTATTAATTGTCAGTTTTCCTTTCTAGAACGTGGGCTTCATGAGGAAAGGGACTTGGCTCTGTACTTTCACGCCTATTTTCCTAGTGAAGGGGCAAAGAGTTCAAGATAGTAAAGCCCACTGTGTGTGAAGGTGTGACTAACTTCGCACTTCCAGATACTAAAAGGTGGGGGAGATCCTCAGATATTTCTCTTGCCCTCTCTCCTCCCCTGGCCCCATCTCTGGGAGCTAGAAAGTTGTCCTGGCTGTGAGGAGTCTCGGATGATAGATTCTTCAATGGATCCCTACTGCTCTTGAGATCATGTCCAAGCTCTTTAACATGACAGGTCTCACCACTTCTAGGCTAGTACCTAGTCCTAGTACCCCCAACTTCTAGGCTAGTACCTAGTCCATAGTACGTGCTCATTAAATACTTATTGGAAGAATGAATGCAATGGATGGATGCTTGTCTATGAAACCTTGACATCTAAGCTAGAGAGAAAAATGTAAAAAATGTCTCTGCATTTTTATAATGCTGTGCATGGGGCTGTCAGCGTGGTGGTTAAGGCGCTGGACTGCCACATGGCTGACCATGGTTCAAGTCCCAGACCCGAAGACTTGTTTTCTCATTTTCTCTCTCCCTTTCTCTTTCTCTCTATCTCTCTGTGGTGAGCACACATGCCCTACAGCAAACTTAAGAGTAATAAATAAAATTAAATTAATAATTTAAAAACTGCTGTGCACTCACCAAACTCCCTTCTCACTTCTCCAAGGTGGCAATAATCTCTGCCTTACTTTCCAAAGGAGGCAGAAGAGGCACAGAGAGACTAAGTGATTCTCCTAGGGGCACCCAGCTATCGAGTAGAATAATCTACAGGAGAAGGAAGAAACCCAAGATCCCACTGTAAATCTGAAGACCACTTTGCTGTTAAACACCAGAATCTTCCCAAGGCTCTACGCTAGACTAGTTTAGGGTCAAATACCCAGAAAGCAATTATGGAATCACTTTCAAACGTAAGTGCACAGCAAGGGGAAAAGAAAGCTGTACATCAGGGTGCAATCCCCACAGAGGCCTGTAGGTGGAGGCAGAGCACACCCAGGCGTCTGGTCTTGCCCTCTCACCTGCTGTTTTCCACAAGGTAATGCACAATTTTGTCCAGGACCTTCTCAAACAAGGCCGTGCGGATCCACAGGTGCTTGATAGCGAGCGGGGACAGGTTGGGCAGTTTGGGCGGCTTCCGCACATTCTCCTGGAGGCCCTGGATCTGGTTTCGCCTTCAAGACCAATACAGGAAGAGAACAGACACTTACAGAAGAAACTCACAGGGCCGATGTGCAAATGGGAAAATGTTTGGTCTTTCTTAGGAAATGAAAGAATGGCAACTAAAGAGTAGCAATATCATATACTGCTCCGAGCAAACAGGATAAGGTTGAAAAAACAATAGGACTGCCACATGGCTGACCATGGTTCAAGTCCCAGACCCGAAGACTTGTTTTCTCATTTTCTCTCTCCCTTTCTCTTTCTCTCTATCTCTCTGTGGTGAGCACACATGCCCTACAGCAAACTTAAGAGTAATAAATAAAATTAAATTAATAATTTAAAAACTGCTGTGCACTCACCAAACTCCCTTCTCACTTCTCCAAGGTGGCAATAATCTCTGCCTTACTTTCCAAAGGAGGCAGAAGAGGCACAGAGAGACTAAGTGATTCTCCTAGGGGCACCCAGCTATCGAGTAGAATAATCTACAGGAGAAGGAAGAAACCCAAGATCCCACTGTAAATCTGAAGACCACTTTGCTGTTAAACACCAGAATCTTCCCAAGGCTCTACGCTAGACTAGTTTAGGGTCAAATACCCAGAAAGCAATTATGGAATCACTTTCAAACGTAAGTGCACAGCAAGGGGAAAAGAAAGCTGTACATCAGGGTGCAATCCCCACAGAGGCCTGTAGGTGGAGGCAGAGCACACCCAGGCGTCTGGTCTTGCCCTCTCACCTGCTGTTTTCCACAAGGTAATGCACAATTTTGTCCAGGACCTTCTCAAACAAGGCCGTGCGGATCCACAGGTGCTTGATAGCGAGCGGGGACAGGTTGGGCAGTTTGGGCGGCTTCCGCACATTCTCCTGGAGGCCCTGGATCTGGTTTCGCCTTCAAGACCAATACAGGAAGAGAACAGACACTTACAGAAGAAACTCACAGGGCCGATGTGCAAATGGGAAAATGTTTGGTCTTTCTTAGGAAATGAAAGAATGGCAACTAAAGAGTAGCAATATCATATACTGCTCCGAGCAAACAGGATAAGGTTGAAAAAACAATAATACCCAGTGAGTGTGAAGATGTGGTTAAACAGGCATTATCATCTATTGTTGATAAGAAAGTCAGATCTCATACTCATCTCTGTCTCTCTTTCTCTCTCCTGGAAGGGATTTCCAGCCAAGGACTGTCTCAGATTACAGATCCTTCAGTGGCTTCATGCTGCCTTGGGAAGCAACCTCTTTAGCAGGACAGATGGGCACTTGGTGACACTGCCTTCATTCCCCTCTTTTTTACACCATCCACTCTCATCCCATGATCCAGCCGGCCAGAGATACCTGCAGATTCTTGACCCGGCCAGGCTCTCCTGACGCCTTCCCATGAGCTGCTGCTTCTTCCCAGTTTCCCTCTTCGTCTCCTCATTCTTGAGGTCTCAGCGAGGGCATCCCCTCCTACAGAAAGACCTACCGGCCAGCCAAAGCCTATGCTCCCCCCACCTCCAGAGTTTAACTTCCTTTTCCTTTCTCTGTCCTCCCCCTCATGCTGGGATTTTGAGAATGTGGACTAAGCAATCCATTTTTAAAATAAAATACCTACCGAGAGTCTATCGTGAGACAAGTATGGGCCCTCTTCATGCCCGTAACCTCTGAGTCCTAGCACAGCGCCAGGCACGGAAGAGACGCTCAGGAAATACGCTCGTGAATGAGTGCTTGCATGAATGAATGAATGGGCCTTCCCCCAGCGTGGGCATCTCTAACTCCTCCATTAGGGAGTCACTCCCAGTAATGTAGAAGGCCCACAGAAGCCCATCCCTTTAAAAAGTTCTATCTGTGAACACCTGGGAATTTAACAGATGGCCTGGAAGGTGCCTGATGACCCGATGGCTGAGAAGTCCTTCCAAAGAGGAGCTGGCAGAGCCAAAGGCCGAGCTCTGCCCCTACAGTTCTGGCCAGCAGCCCTGGTAGACAAGGCCTGAAAGGCCAGGAAAGGGCCCCTTCTCATTATTCCCTTCAATGAAGTGGAATAACGGCCGATAACACAGATGGCAAACACGTGGCCTGCTCGTCTGTTCCCGTCCCTTGCCATGACAGCCAGAACCAATCAATCCACGCACATGTCCCATGATGCCCAATCACAGCTTCTGAATTTTTCACAGCCAAGTCCCTGGGTAGCCTCTAGTACCCCATGACCAGGCTCTAGGTGGGGGCCTGGACATGCAGTTGGGAGTGCAGGGCTAGTGCTGGTGCAAGACACCCACGCTAAGTCCACGAGCCTCCTTCTGACACACACATCCAGCCCCAAGACGAGTGGGGCCACCTCTCCCCTCCCTCGGTTGTCTCAATGTGAGTTTAGGCAGAGGCCCGAGGACCTGTCCATGCAGACCACACTGGCCCCACCAACTCTGACTGTCTGCCATTGAGAACAGAGCGTGGCTCCCAGGAGGCAGTGAGTCACCGGACAAGTGTTTCCTGGGCACGTATCAGTCCCTGGTGCTGGGGACGGAGTGGGGAATATAACACAGACGTAGTTGCCTTTTTTCAGAGTTCAGGGTCAAATGGGAGAGACGGACAGCAAAGCAGTCTAGCGTGAATGGATGAATGAGCGAATAACCAATTACAGACAGCGATGAGGGCTGGGAAGGAAATGACCAGGACAGCGTGAAGGCTGGATGTGCCAACCATGGGCAGGTCTCAATGATGGCGAGGAGCCAGCCATGGAAGAGGGCACAGCGTGTGCTGAGGCCCTGAGGCGGCAAAGGGTCTGGAGGGTCTGAGGAGCAGAGAGGAGGGAGGGGTGTGCAGTATCCTCCAGGGGACCGCCCAGCCCACACCCCACACCCACACTCACGTGCTCTCGATCAGCTGCTCCAGGTCCTGGACCTTGCGGCTCAGATCATCGGCTGGCGGGAAACTCTTGCCCACCTTCATGAAGAGGGCGGCGATCTTGTTGCTGCGCAGGAAGCCCGCTGCCCGCCGCCGCAGCCCGTGCAGGACGCAGGCCTCTACGGCCGCTGCGGAGACAGGGGCGTGTCCTGCCTACGCTCCCCAGCGCTCGGTGCTCAAGGCTCTTCGGAGACCTGGGATCCCCCCCAGTCAGGATGTATCACAGGGAAAAACGTGTTCCTCTCCACACAAACATGGCACCTGGCATGCTTTCATGGGTCTGGGACTTGAACCAGAGTCGGCCATGTGGGACCCAGTGCCCTAACCACCACAACACAAGCTGACCCCCCAGGGAGATTCTTTATACCTCACAGAGTAACAGCAAATTTGTCCTACTCCAAAGCACTGATCGGAGTTAGAAAATTATTGTTTTTATCACTTTCTGTTTCTCTGAGTCTTTAATTGGTATGTTAGCCAATCCTGATATGGACATGCATGTTATTTTATTTGCATATAAAAATGTCCAGGGGTGGACCCTTCAGCAGGTGGCATGGTGGTTAAAGCACTGGACTTCCACATTGTGGATCATGGTTTGAGTCCCAGATCTTGCAGCTTGCTTTCCCACTTTCTCTCTCTCTCATCTTTCTCTCTCTCTCCCTCTCTCTCTCTCTCTCTCTCTCTTTCTCTCTCTCTCTCTCTCTCTCTCTCTCCTTCTCTGTCTCTCTGGTCAAAATAGAAAATAATAATGAGGGGGACCAGCAGGTGGTGTAATGGTTATGTCACTGGATTCCCACATAGTCAATCGCAGTTCAAGTCCCGGATCTGGCGGCTTAAACCTCACGCTGGGTGTGTGTGCCCAGGATCCCGAGAGGAGATTGGAGGAGAAGGGATTGCTGCATGGCCATCCCCCTGGGGTTGATTTCTCACTTTTTGTCTCTCTCTCTCTCCAGTGAGTGCATGCGCCCTATAGCAAAATTCACTCAAGAAAAAAAAAGTGATAATAATGAATAAAATGAAATGAGATAATTCTTTAAAAAAAAAATGTCCAGGGACTACAAGAAGGGGGGGTCTCAAAAAGTATATTGAGAATGTATTGATATATTATGAAAGAACTGTGCATGGATTTCAAAGTTCTTTGCACTAAAGTAAACTCAGACTTTAATTCCATTTGTCCATAAAGTTTTCGTGTTTGTGGGTTTTTTTGTTTTGTTTTGTTAGGTTTTTGCAATAGAGCATATGCTTTCGTTGGAGAGAGAGAGACAGGGAGAGACAGAGAGAGGGAAAATGAGAAGTCCATCCTCCCCACACCCCCAGAGGGGATGGCCATACCACAAATCCCTTCTCCTCCATTCTCCTCTCAGGATTTTGGGCATGCACACAAACATGCCCCATGTGAATTTCAAGTCGTGTGGAACTGGCTTCCTTAACTACCAGCCCACAGACCAGCCCATATTCAATTATTAAATTGCAAAGTTTTCAGGGAGAAGGAAAGAAACACTCCCCCTTACGCGAGCACACTGATTACGGGACACTCCAAACACGGGTCTCCAGCCTTGGCCGAAGTCCAGTAGAATGGAGCAGCCTGGTTATCCTCTGAACCTAAGTGACAGCTGGTTCAAGCTCTGCAACCTCATGACACCCCAGGGCCAGGCCTGCTGCCACTGTGAACCAGCTAGACAGGACCCCTCTGCATATGTCAGTGGCTGCCGGTTCCCTTTTACATTTTTAGTTAATTAACTTAATATTTCTTTCTTCCTTTATCCCAGGAGTTCTGTGGGGATCCACCTGCCTGAACCACCATGCCACATGGCTGGCCCCAGAAGTCACTTTTAACTGCTTCTTGAGACTCTTCCATCTTCCCAAATTCCTCAGCACGGTCCCTTTGGAATCTGAACATAACTCTGGGGGCCACAGAGCCAACAACAACATGGGAAGCCCAGCTTAGAGAGGAAGAGGCCACTTCTTGAAGCCACAGGCGGCCACGGACTTACCACAGAAGGAGATGATGTGGCTGCTGTCCTCGTGGACGAACTTGCGGGTGACAGCCTCCTCCATGATCTGCTTCACCTGGAAGGCAGAGGAGACAGAGGGGCTGATGGACCTGAGTGAGGACTCCCTGAACGGGCTGCGTGGCTCCCCAGGAGCCTCCCAGGCTGTCTGGGCAGCTCCCCTTCGTCGCCCTCCTCGCCCGTCCCCTGTAGGGGACACATGTCCTCATGGCTGTGCGTGTCCCGGTTCCCTGAATGGTTTACTCAGGCTGTTTGCACAGTGGCGGCTGCTGCTTCCTTCAGATGTCACGCAAAATGTCATCACCTGCCCTGTCCACTGTGGGCAGCCCTAGCCCGCCCTCACTGTGGTCCATCCTTCAGAGCACGAACCACCGTCCTGGTCTCTTTGCTTGCTTGCTTGCTTCCTTCCTTCCTTCTTTTTTTTTTCTTTTTCTTTTTAGTTATTTGCTATAGGGTGCAAGTGATTGCAGAGGAGAGACAGAAAGAGTGGGAAGTGAGCAATCACCCTCATGGGGGATGGCCATGCCACAATCCCCTCTACTCCGTTCGCCACTCAGGACTCTGGGCCCACATGCACACACACCCCACATCTCTTTTAAACTACCAGGTCTCAAACTCAAACCATGCAGTTAGCCGTGTGGGATCCAGTATCTTCACCACTTTGGAGCCCCTCTTTTTTTTGTTTGGAGATGTTTTTGCTATAGGCCATGTGCACTCGCCAGAAAGAGAGAGACAGAGAGACAGAAAGCAAGAAATCACCCCCGGGGAGGATGGCCATACCGCAATCTCTTTTCCTCCATTCTCCTCTCAGGATCTTGGGCACGCACGCACAGGCGCCAAGCGTGAGTTCAAGCCACCGGGTCTGGGACTCGAACTGCAGTCAACTACAGAGGAGTCCAGCGACATAGCCATTATGCCAACTGCTGGTCCCGGAGCACCTCTCTTTACAGGCCAACTATATCTTCTAGAACACAGGTTCTGAGAGGGCAGAGCCTCATTGGCCTTGTTCACCCCGTTCACACAGCTCTGTGAATAAGGCCGACGAGGCACCAGTTCAGTGCCTAGCACATAGTAGGGGCTCAGGAAATATTTTTAAAGGGATGGATGAGTGCACTGTATTCAGATAGGAATCAGGAGGGTGGAGTGTGGATGGTTAGCTCCAGTAGACCTGGGTTCAGATCCCTGCTCAGACACCTGCCAAGGAGATCTACGGTCTTACTTTGGGAAATGGAGGCTCAGCCGGGTGAGACGCCTGCCCTCAGAGGCGGAGCTGCCCAGGGCACGGGACTCCAGCACAGTCGGACACCCAGATCCAGAGCGGCTCTCTCCAAACTCACTTGCTCAACAGGCATTTCTGAGCACTTCTAACAAGCCAGGCACGGGGACAGGGTGCGAAAGGGCAGCTGTGTCCCTGCTCATGGAATGACCCCCTGGTGGCCTGGACACCCTCTTCCTCTCTGGATTCTAGACCCCAACCTGATTCTTAAGCAAAGCCATTCTCCTCTCTGGGCCTCAGTTTCCCCACCTGGAGGTTGAGAGAGTCAGAAAAGATGATTCCCAAAGGCCTATCCCAGCTCTTCATCACTGGGGCTCTGCTGTGGGGGTGAAGGGAACAAAGCCCTGGGTCACCCCCACTCAGTGGGTCCCCACATGTGCCCTTCCCCACTTTCTGGTGGCCACTCAGACTCAGCTCACAAACACATCAGTGCACATGCCTAAGTGGTCCCCAGCTCTCCCCGCCCCTCTCTCCCCTCCCTGCTTGCCTCCTGGGGAGGGGAGGGGAGAGGGGAAAAGAGGGGAGGGGAGGGGAGGAGAGGGGAGGAGAATGCATAGTATCTCTAAGATACTTAAGAGATACATGGCAGTCCCCGCCCCAGAGCGGGCCACTGCCCTCCACCCCACACAAGCACGTCAGCACCAGCGCTGTGAACAGCTCCCAACCTCCCAGCTCGGAGTGCTTTGCAGGCAGTATTTTTTTTTTTTTAATTGCCAGAGGGCGCCTGTGCTCACCAGAGAGACAGACATCGGGAAGGAGGGAGAGTGAGAAAGCACCCTCCAATGGGGGGTGGGGGGCAGGGGCAGTCAGGCTACAATCCCTTCTCCCCCATCTCTCCATCCTGCCAGGACTCTGGGGACAAACATGCCCAACTGTTGTATTTTTAAAGCAGCTGGGGCCAGGACTTGAACCACAGTTAGCTATGTGGGATCCAGCTTCCCTTAACCATTACTATAGGGCCAGCCCCGAGATGTTCCTCTTAACACTGCCAGAAGGTTCTTGTTAAAAGATAAGTCAGTAGGGACCAGCGGGCTGCATGGTGGTTAAGGCGTTGGACTCCCACATGGTCAACCATGGTTTGAGTCTTGGACTTGGTGGCTTGCTTTCTCACTTTCTCTATCTCTCTGTCTCTCCCTTTGATCAAACGTAATATAAATAAATAATAACAACAAAATAAATACATAAATATATAAAATCTTTACCAGACAGAATATCAATAGTAAACAGAGGACCTGAACAACATTATAAGCCAACTGGACATACATAGGACATTCCACTACGTGAGAGCAGAACACACACAGTTCTCAGGCAGACATGGAACTTTTCCCAGAACGAACCACATGTCAGGATATGAAACAAGTCTTTATTAAAAATTTTTAGAGGTTTTTGCTATAGGGCATGTGCACTCACCAGAGAGACAGAGACAGACAGACAGAAAGCAAGAAATCATCCCCCAGGGGGAATGGCCATGCCGCAATCCCTTCTCCTCCCGGGATCTTGGGCATGCACGCACACACGCCCAGCGTGAGTTTAAGCCACCGGGTCCAAGACTAGAACTGCGGTCGACTACATGGGAGTCCAGAGACATAGCCATTATGCCAACTGCTGGTCCCGCTAGTCTTTTTTTTTTTTTTTTTTTGAGAGGTTTTTGCTATAGGGCGCGTGCACTCGCCAGGCAGAGAGAGACATAGAGACAGAAAGCGAGAAATCACCCCCCAGGGGGGATGGTGACGCCGCAATCCCTTCTCCTCCATTCTCCTTCCGGGATCTTGGGCACGCACGCACACACGCCCGGCGTGAGTTCTAAGCCACTGGGTCCGGGACATGAACCGCGGTCGACTATGTGAGAGTCCAGCAACATAGCCATTACGCTAACTGCTGGTTCCCCCGCTAGTCTTAATAAATTTTAAAAGACTGAAATCCTATTGAGCATCTTTCCTGATCACAATAGATGGAACTAGAAATCAAAAGCAGAAGGGAAGCTGGAAAACCCACAAGTGAGGGGAAATGAATCAACCCACTCTTTATTTTTAATAGCCAGAGGGCCTGTGGGCGGGTGGGAGTCAAAGGCTGTCTGTTCACAGCTGTGGATCTTGAAACTCAGAGAGGTTGCACCCCTCTCCAGAGGTCATGCAGCGGGAACTTGGCAAGATCTTGGAGCGGGTGGCTGTCTGGCTTTGAACCTCTCACCCAGGGAATAAATCTGGTTGGGGAAGGGAGTAAGGGGTGGAGGTGGGTGTAGTTTTCTTTCAGCCTGAGGGAGGGGCTCCAGCAAATGAAGACCCCTCTCCACTTCTGCTGGCTCCCAGCTATCGGCCAGAACATCTCCCTGGCTAGGAGAGAAAGTTAATAACAGGCTGATAGCCCGAGGCCAGGAGAGGAAATTAAATAGCCTGATGATTAGCCGCGGAGATGGAAGCCTCCCTCAGAAGGCCATGGAAGGGAGGGCACGTCTCTGCAAGAAGAAAGGATGTTGCCCACTCCTTGTGGGCGGCACCTATCCCATCCCAGGGGACAGACTGACCTGGGGGCAGAGGTGGGGGCCAGGCAGCCTGGAAAGGAAGATCAGAAATGCACCTCTGGGGCTCCCAGGTGTGGGCTTGGTCTGCTTTGGAGCCTTTCAGGTCCAAGGACCCCTGGGCTGATCTTGCACTTGTAGTCATGTGCATCTGGCTTATTGCAGCCCAAGGGATCGGCCAGGAACAGCGCCTGGTTTAGGCTGCACAGAGGCGATGGTGCAGCTGGTGCACGGAGCTCACGCTCTGTGAGAGCCCAGCAAAGCCAAGCCCCTCTGCTCGCGTCTCAGTCTCTCCGCTGGCAGGTGGAGCCTTTCACTCTTTGGGGCCGAGTGATGATTACATGGACATAACGTGTGAACGGGTGGGTAGGGCTCATGCACAGTAGGAACTTTACCATGATAAAGCCCCTACTCAGTTGTTCTCAAGTACTCCTTGTGTTCAGAGACTCTGTGTAAGCACAACCCTCTGAGGCAGGTTCCCAAATATTCCATTTTACAGATGAGGAAACCAAGGCACAGTTTTGTCGTCGTTGTTGTTGTTTTCTTTTAAGATAACCTAGCCTAAAAAATACAATTTAATTTAAAAAAAAATAAATAACCTACCCTAGGTTACACATGCAGAGATGGCAAGGGTCAGACCCAGGGCCCTCATCTCAAGATGGAGAGCACAAGATGGAGGTCATTTCAAACCAAAAGTCTTTGTAATCCTCCAGCAAAATAAGAGAATGTGGGGGCCGGCAGGTGGCATGGCAGATAAGGGTGCTGGACTCCCACGTGGCTGACGGCGGTTCGAGTCCTAGACCTGGAGGCTTGCTTTCTCACTTTCTCTCTCTCTCACTCTGTCCCTCTCTGGTCAAATTAAAATAAAAACATAAAGTTAAATAAAATAATTTTTTAAATATTTATTTATTTAATTTTATTTTTTATTTTCTAATTTGATGAGAGAAGGAGAGAGAGGAAGAGAGACATGAGAGAGAGAGAGAACAAGCCGCCAGGTCCAAGACTTGAACCATGGTCGACTACGTGGGAGTCCAGCACCTTAACCACCACACCACCTGCCGGCCCCCAAATAAAATATTTTTTAAAAAAATAAGAGAATGTTTACTGAGCATTTACTATGAGCCAAGTGCTCTGGCTAGAACATCTTACTTAATCCTCACAAGAGCACAATTATCCTCAACTTAAAGACAGAAAAACTGAAGCTCAGAGGACCTAGGTAATTTTCCCAAAGTCACACACCAGGAACGAACACAGCTGGGACTTG